CTGGTGCTAACCAATTCTTGATCTACCTTGCCCTGTTCTCCACCATTTCTGCTGTTATTCAGAAGTTAATAAGTTCTTTCATTTCAGCTTCATTTTTATTCTTATCTACCTCCTATATCCAAGCTGCATTCTTGTTGTATTTCTTTTGTTGTCCCACAGCTGCACCTAGAACTGCACTGTTTCTTCTTTGTTAGGTGTTGACTGGTTCATTGCAGTCTCTCCATTGATGGATTGGTAGAAATGTTTCTGATTTGACTAAAATTGGAGAATCTGCCTGTAGTGTGCAATTTGAGCTTCCAATCTGATCTTCCATTTTGGTGGTGCACTGTTTGGCTTCTTTTTCTTGTTTGTTGATATTGTTATTATTACTATTACTATTATTATTATTTAATGTAGTCAAATACCACCTCCCATGCCAAAGCATTGAAGTGGTTTACAATACATATAGCAGTAAAATACATGATACACTAATCATAAAGCAATAGTAAACCTCTGCCCATTTGCAGAGGAATGGGAGTAACAAAAGAGTCAGTGCAAATAGCACTGTCAGTGTAACCCAAAGTGGGATATTTCAGGCTTGAGGGAGGAGTAAGAGGGAGCCCAGCTCTCCTGATGCTACGTGATTTTCAGTGGCTTTGATAGGGTTGTCCATGGTACTTTTCTAGATGGTCTTTGTGAGTTGGGGGCATTATGTTAGAGTGATTTTGCTCCTTTCTGCAGGGATTATCTCAGTAGTATTAGTTGACTATTCCTCTACACTCTGGTTATATATTCACTGGTATATGTGGGGTATTCTTGCCCTTGCTCTAGAAGCTGCAACTGATGCAGAATAATGTGATCAGGTTGCTGAGTGGGATAGCTGTCCATGCACATGTTGCACTTTTGTTGAAGCAACTGAACAAGCTGCCAATTATTACTGAGCCAGACTGAAAATTTTGGTTATGACTTACAAGACTCTAAACAACCTGGGACTAGGATAATCTCCTTCAAAGAGCTGTCTGCTCACTTAGATCCTTGGGGAGGTCTTGCAATATATACTGAGAACTACTGATTTTGAGTCCCCACATGAAACTGATAAAGAAGAATCAGTAGATTTTCTGACCTCTTAAATCTGTTCCTTGAAATATTACTTTGGAGATCTTTGATTTATCTTTTAAAGTTTTTATGTCAACATATCAAAATGTGATCAGTCTGGATTGTGAGGAAGGAGGAGAAAAAAAAATAGAAAACCAATGGAACATTCCCTAACTCATAGTGGAGGAACTGATAAACAATTACATTTAATGCACGGAAAATAGCAATATTTGAAAATAAATGATTAATAAATATTTGATTTCTATAAAAATATGTCACTTCTATGATACAGAATATAATGGTGCTAATAAAATCTACAAAAAAAGAATTTATCTTATTCAGCTGAGCACAGATTGCTGCTCAATAAAAGGCTGGTAATACCTATGGTCTGACTGAGTCACAAATAAGATGAATAGTATTTGAAGGATCTTTGGATGCAGCATTGCAGATATCAACCAAAAGCAATAAACCTGGTCCCATTTAATATTTGACTGTATCAAGGGAAATCTGACTAAAGTGCTTCTTTGCTGTACCTGGGCTTCACTCATTGATATGCCTAGGTATTCTTTGAGCATGTGAATAACAATTCATTCCTTTCCTACCATAAAAGATATTGCCCATACAAGCAATACAACAGGAATTAATCTACTATTTGTATAGCCCCAATTTATAATTTTTAGCAACTTATCTATTTAGGGTAAGAGTCTTGTCCTACCCTAATTAGTTGTCTGTGAGAATGGTAAGATAACATAATAATTTTTGTTGGTAAATTTGTTTGGCAGATACTATTCTTCAAAAACAGGAAAAAATGAACAGAACCTATTGCTTCATGCTAATTGAAGACCTGGGAAGAAAGCAATATATTGATTTCATTTGGATCACATGTTGATACATTGACATAAAAACTTTAAAAGATAAATCAAAGATCTTCACAGTAATATGCCAAGGAGCAGATTTAAGAGGTCAGAAAATCTACTAATTCTTTTTTTATCAGTTTCATGTGGGAACTCAAAATTATTAATTGTCTCCTAATTGTTTCAAGCTAGTAATAAAAACAGGGGTTTACCTGATAATCTGGTTTAGTGAAATAATCCAGATTTGCAATGTGATCCAGAAAAAGGTGGAACTCAGAAGGCATATGTTTTAGCAGCATTCGATGTTCATATTTTTCTTTAATCATACCAACTTGCTCCTAGAGAGATCAAATATATTTATTTATTTATTTATTTATTTATTTATTTGGATTTATATCCTACTGTAATCAAATAGGGTCTCAGTGGCTCACAAAAATAACCAATATAAGAATACTAGGAATATATAAGATAAATATATTAAAAACCCAGAACAATAAAATACCTGGTGTTATACCCCAAAAGCTCTCCAGAAAAGCCCTCCAGAAAATTCCAGATTCCAGCATTATACAGAATACTACATATAATAAATATCATTAGCAAACAAAACAAGACAGCAAATGGTATTAACATCTGTTAATTGTGGTGGTTACATATTATCTTCAGTATCAAAGACAAATTGTTTCTGAACCCTGAAAACATTGACTGTTGGCAAACACAATCAAGAAAATGTTATTGCTCTAATGTACTGTTGTGGACATCCCATAAGCCTTTGTGAAATCCAGCAGGGTTTTTTTCCTTATTGCTTTATTGTTCATCTTGGGAAGGAAGAACTTGTATTGTCATTGACTACATTTTCTACCTTATCTTTAATCTTGCGCCATGGAAGTTGACCAACTGCAAACTCCACCAGCATGTAAAAAAGGGACCACAGGTCATCATGTCGACCCATTTCCTGCAATAAAACAAAAATCAGTTACAAATATTGTAGCTGCCAACACTGTCTACAACAACTTCAGAATCAGTCAGGAGACTACTGCTACCCAGAAGCCATTACAGACGTATCAATTGTGTGTGTGTGTATAATCAAACCTAACCTTTCATGTAACCAAAGCTAAAATTTGAAAGCAATGATTTTCATATATTCTGATTCCAGCAGAGCATTTCTGCATTGTCTTGTCTGTTGAGAAATTCCTCCACATTTATGATGCATGCTGCACATCATGATGTGTTTGAATTATAAAGGTCACAAGAGACCATGCCTACTGTTTGTAATGCCAAAAGAGACATAAACTAACTACAGTTGGAAGAAATCCAAAGTTGGAATGTATAGATTTAATGAAGAAAAGCTCTATTTTTTCCTATTAGGCATTCTGCACTGTAGCCCAGGGTATTCCCCATTCTGCTGGGACTTGTTTGATTTTACTATTATCCTAAGAAAGTATCCTAAAATACACCCAAATACTTATATCACTGCACTGAAGATCTCCTTTTAAGTTTCTTTGGACTGCAGGCTATTTGCAGGATTCCATGCTATATTCTAATTATATTGTAACTTGTTTAATTGCCAAGGGGCTGAATGAGCTTTATACAGTGGGAAAGGCTGTTTGGAGCGAACCTATCAAAGGATGATTCACACTTCAACAAGACTACCCCTCATACTAGCCAGAAAATCTCCAAAAGCCCTCTGGCATTCATTAGAAACTGTTAGTCTCTATGAGCAGACCATCCTAAAAGTTCTCCCATCTCTTCCAAAAAGAATAATTGCTCAAAGTTTAACTCTCAGCAGGAAGAGAACAGATGTAAAATCTCTCAGCTTCAAATCATTATATTCCTGTTCAGTAGGAAAGAAGATTCATAGTGTACTTTTTGCTTACATTGCAATGTCACAAACTTTATATTATTCTCCACATTTGAAAAACCAAGCCACTAGTAATACAATGTAATGCAGTGTGGCAAACTGCTGTGCTGGGAAAAATATTAATACACGCAGCTACATGCATAAAAAATCTGATATTCAAGGTAAGGGAATCTAATATTGCAGACCATCAACATTCTGGACTTTTGTAAGGGCAGAGAATGTATTAGAAAACCTCAGTCATCTAACAGCCCATTAAGTGAGCTAAGCAGGGCAGCGTTTTCTGTTTCAATCTAGGATTCTTTTAAGCCTGGAGAATCTGAGGAAGTGGATAGAGACCTCTGTAATATGAATTCTGCTACCTATGGATTAAATCCATGTCTCTCCTGACTCCTTCAGGCAGCTGGGCAGGGTGTGTGCAGTTGGATTCAGAAAGTGGTGAATGCCTCTGTAGGAGGAGGCTCTGCCACCAACCTTGAAAGAGGTGGTGCTGTGCCCTCTTGAAGAAACCCTCTCTCAGTCTAGCTGTAGTTGGTAACTTTTGATGGTCCCCAGCTTTCTTATCTAAGGAAGACTGTTCAGAAAGGGGGAGGGAGGGGGCAGGGAGTCAGCTATCAAGGATCTTACAGGAAACAGGCTTTCTGGATCTCTTTCAGTCAAGGATCAAACCCAGTTTTGGGATAGAATTAGTATTGATCACTCTAGTTGATGTTGTTCATTGGGATCTAGATGGGAAGAATGTACTTCTGGTCTTACTGGACCTCTTGGTAGCATCTGATACCATCAACCATGATGCCCTTCTGGACCTCTTACTAAGCTTAGGAGTAGGAGACAATATTTTACATTTGTTCCTGTGATGGTATGTGGGAATGATCTTGGGAGACAAGAGGAAGACCCACAGCCAGGGCAACCGTCTGATAAGAGGCAGCTCAGTTCACAGGTGGGGGAAAAGCATGGGAAGCATTTCAGGAGGTACCCTCCCTAGTTTTCTGGAGACTATAAAGAGAGGAGGGGAGAAATATTTTTAGTCTTGCAAGATTCTGTTTAACATAAAATCAATAAAGATAGTGCTGATACTCCTAGTTATGCTTCTTGTCTGGACTACCTCAAAGAGCTAACAGTTCCATCCCTATCTGAGCAGGTACAGTGGTACCTCTACTTACGAACTTAATCCATTCCGTGATTCTGATCGCAAGTCAAGTTGGTCGCAAGTCGAAGTAAATTTTCCCATAAGGTTCAATGTAATTACCGTTAACCCATTCCGGCGTCCGTGGACCACGCGTCAGGGGCGGAAAAATGGCCGCGGACCACGTGGAACGGGCGGAAAATGGCCGCGGACCACGTGGAACGGGCGGAAAATGGCCGCGGACCACGTGGAATGGGT